ATATAGCTCGGACGGATTGTGAGCAACTGTGCACGGCGTGAGCAGTGCAGCAGTGGCCAAGGTCAGTGTCAACAGTCAGCTTTGTACACACGTCAAGGGTGGCTGCAAGAGTTTGCCCACAGCCACCTTCCATGAATCTTCCACGGACCGTTGCAGAACGTTAACGTGTAGCCATGGCCTTTAGCGGGTAGAGCTTGTGGCTCAGGACGCCGGTAAAAGGCTTGAACATAATTTCTGCCAGACAGGTGCTAGCGGTGATGCCGTGCTGCGCGGGCTGTGCCGTGCAGGATCTAAATAAACACTAGGGAAAAGCACGTATTGTGCGGCCCGAGAGGCTCAGGTTTCAAGGCTCCGAAGGTGGTGAACGACCATGTTGAACGACCGTGTCAAAGAGGTGGCCATGTAGTGGTTTCGTCTTCCTAAGAGTTGCGGGCCATGAGCAACCCACAAGCTGCCACAAGAGTTTTGCGGCATCGTCTCTCGGCGTGCTCATAGCCTCGCAGGGCTCGATGGCCGTTGCTGCGCCGCGCTGGCTGGCGTGCCGCCCAAGCACAAACAAAGTTCCAAGCTCTCTTCGTCCAGGCATGCAAGCAAGTACAGCAATACAAGAAAGTAAGATGAAAGCTGAGCACACCCTCTCTCCTCCTAACTGTGTCAAGGGCCAACCCAGGTGACCGAGTAAGTGGTGGGCAGACTGGATCATGAAGGGTCGACCAATGCTTGTAGCCCGCGCGGAGGCCTCACCAGGAACTTCAACACCAAATGCATTGTGTCGAGGATGGTGACGCATACATCAGAATCCCCTGAAAGCAGGCAAATGGAACAAGTGCAACCTGGGCAACCTCAGTCGCCTGTACCAATTCATTGACCAAATCCCCCTCACCAGGGCAAGCGGTACCGACAACGAATGAAACCATGGCTGGTGCAACGATGTCCCGATCTTTAGCTGTCTCAGGTTTACCAGCTGGAAGGCATTCGGGCCGAAACCTATATATATATATATCAATATATATATATATATATCAATATATATATATATCAATATTTTTTGCTGACGCTCATTGTTGCATCCGCAGCGGCTTAGCAATTGTCCTTCGAATTCATGTGTGATCTGTGCTAAATGGTTCAGCCCGCAAAATCATGTCCAATGAAAGTGCCGTATTCATGAGCTTGCATCGACCTGCAGAGTTCAACGAAATTGGGGGGAACCAAAATGGATTCGTCAGGGACCTCACACTCGTCCAAAACTGATCGAATCGCTTCCGCTATAGCGCGGCAAAATGCTGGAGGATATTCCTTCAGGCTAGTGGTATTCCATCCACCGCGTTCATCTCTACCTACTGCTTGGCCTGCCGGCAGCTCCTTTCTGATTCTGTACATGTGCAAGAAACGGAGCATGGAAGGGAGATTCACGCAAAGCAGTTCTGTTGGTTTGGATGTGCGCGAACCAAGCAGGCCCTGCGCAAAACGCAACCTACAAACCCCTGGCAAATGCTCAAAAACCCTTAAAATCGGAAGTCGCCAGATGGAGGCCGCTTCTGGGAGATCCGTGGGTTCTGCAGGGTGCTCTACCAGTCCTACACTACCCGCTAATGCTACTTCAAGGAGTGCTGCCAACGAAAAACAAAGGAGTCCATTGCCGGTGATGATCTGCTGCAGCTCACGGAGTCCCAAGCAAATGAAGCCCCATAGGTCTTCTGCATCACGTAGGACTCTTGGCGGTCGATGCCATCGATCTCCCGCATGCCCTTGTTGATTCGTTGCATCCACACCGCGAACCCTCGACCACGTCTCGCACGGAGGCCCCGCGATATAGGCCACCACATAGCGCTCCCTGATCGCATTGATCCACAGTGCCCTGGTTTCAGCCCTCATGGCGTTGCCCCAGGTTGCGTTGATGATGATGTCTAAAGACACTACCGTTAGCGTATACGGTGATTCCTCGGAGTGCTGCTTTTCCAAGTAGTACTGTATGTCACCAAGCCTGCGACGCCCTGCAAACGCATGCAAAATAATTCGCTGTCTCCCATAGGGTCTAGGGACGGCAGGAAGATACGTTTGCTCCAAAAGCTGGGCCAGTTGTACGCAAGCATGATGATAATGGTGAACTGTCTGCACTCTGCGCTGGGCCTTCAGCTGATGTTGGAGGAAGCTCCATGTGTCTGCCTGACAAAGCCGTTGGAACATGTTTTGCATATATTGCAGAGCAATCCCAAACTCCTTGGCGTCATCCTCCCCAAAGTGCTCCATGAAGAACTGCATCGTTCGCTTCGCCTTTGTCCATGAGATAGCATGTTGCGCAAAATACCGCTGCAGGCTCTCGCGCAAATCATTCTCATGCATCCCCATTGGGCCCTGCTCAACGACGAAATCAACCAGGAAAATATGCATGTCATCATCAATGTCATGAAATTCTCGAGGTCCTTGCACTTGGGGGAGAGGACCTTCTGCACGGAGTGGAGGGAGGAGACGGTCATGACGATGTAGCAATTCATTGTCTCGTTGCGATCCAGCTCCTTGTGTGCCATGAAAACGCTCCGGTCTTGAGAGGAGAATCCTTCTACATCTTGCCGAATGGTAAAGGTGTGCCTTCATACGGCTGTAGGAATGGTACTCCGTCATGCATGCTGTGCACTGCGTAGTGTCAAAGAGGCATCTGTAGAAGGACTGCTGCTTGTGTCTCTTATACATGTGCGCTGCTTCGCCCGCTTTGTTGCGAAAGCGTTGTCTGCAGTGCATGCACCCGTACACTTCTGTGCTGCTGCTCTCTTCCATGGCTGTATCCTCCCACTCTTGTTCTCCTAAGTGGTGATCACAATGCTCATGAAGACGCTCACAAACACGTTGATGGAATTGAATGACCATGTGCTCCTTCTTCAGCTGCATGTTATCGTGCACGCATGCTCTGTTGATCAGCCTCTTCCAATAATTGGTGTGGTGACTCAAAAGGTCGTACCATTGCTCAATGTGGTGCCTGGGATCCTGCAAGCTCGTAGATCTCTTCAGCTGCTCCCACATCCAAAGCAGATCCTCTTCAATCACCTGCACCCATGCTTCATCCTCACCCAGCAAATGCCAAAGGTCAGGAACTCCACATCGGAAAAGGACCGCCAAATACCGCAATCTGGCGCGTCTGAGAAGAATCACTGGTGATGGCAAACCCGTCACCGTCAAAACCTCCGCATCTTGAACTGGTGCATCCGGCTTGACCTTCATCAATCTTCGATACATTCTGAAAATGCCCGCCTCAAACTTTTTCATGGTGCGATTGTCATTAGCTATCCAGCTATCCGCACCATACAAGGTCTTGCTCAACACCAAAGAGGTAAAGAGCTCGACTTTCTTGGCTTCCTGGATGGCTTGATTGTGATAGAGAAGACGTCGGTGTTGGTTGAACGCGTTGTGGCCCACTGCCAGCTTCTGGGAAACTTCATTGGCCTGATCTCCTGTATGATGGATTTTTCCTCCCAAATGGCGGTAGGATTTCACCAACAGGATCTTCTTGGTCTGATGCTCACATATGACATTGAAGTGCCCGTCTGCGACCGGTCCATAGTGTTTCACCCGCAGTTTGCGGCTGCCGGCGCCGTTGAAGCACAACATGAGCTCCGTTTTCCCATGCCCAAGATTCGGAGTCATGAGGTGACTTTCGCACAAGTCCAGGAGGTATCCAATAGCTGGCCCCAAGGCACGTTCCAGTCCTACACCATCCTCATGTTGAAGGCAAAGACAAAGATCGTCCATCCACGTTGGCCCTACATAAGGCTTCATACTCGCAATTTCTGGCTCCTGCTTGAAGAAGGGGGGCTTGAGAGGTGCCGGCATCATAGTGATGAGGTTCTGTTCCTCCAAAAAGGTCTGCAACTTCTTGAGGACAAGCCCCCATGTAAAACCAAAAATGATGTCAGCAAAGGAATCTCCCGGTCGACTCCCCAATCTTGTGGCCACCACATCATCTTGGCCGGCCAGCCAAAAGTGCGTGTTGCTATGTATAGCTCGGAAACAATTCCTCGCCGTGAAGCTCAAGTTGGCCTTCTCCAGCGCTGTGCCTTCTTGCAAAAGCTCATGCAATCTGCTCATGGCATCCGAGGGAAGCTGCAACTTGTGGAAGACGTAGCATAATAGCTCATCTGTTGGCTGTCCCCCCAGGGTGAGCTCCCTCAGGATGCGGTAAAACGCTTGCGTCAAGTCAAGGAACAACAATCCTACTGAATGGCGCATGCCACGGGCTCGACGCAAAAACGCTCTCGACTGATGCAATGCCAGCTGTACTGGTGTTTTTCTGCGGCCCCCCAGCTGTTGTGCTTGGAGAAAGTGTTCGTATGCATCTGCCTTGTGTTGCCTGATGCATCGATGTACAACTTTGCCCAAGTGTGAGGATATCAGCAGCGACCTGAAGGCACTGACATCATGCATGGCTCCCTTTCCCTTGTATGCTGGGGTCAGGAGTCCGCCCTTGAAGGCCAGCGGTTCCTGCCCATGTATCAACACCTTCAGCATTTGAGCAAAGGATGCAGGTGCAAGAACTTCAGGATGGAATCTGCAGATCTCTCCTGGGATCCCATCTGGTCCTCTTGCCTTGTTTGGGGGCACTCTTCTCATCGCCAGTTCCATGTCAGTCAACGTAGGAATCTCTGTCATGTTGAGTTGCATGTGTTGCTGGCTGAATGTTTGCATATCCTGAATCCATTGCTCCCTCAACTGCTGCTCCGTGACACGGATGCCGCCCTCCATGTCGCCAAAGAAATCAATCCACATTTCCAAGGCCTCGTTGGGCAGAGAGCAGGGCTGACCTTCTTTGTTGTAAATCATGGGCAGGGTTCCTCTGCGCTGCTTGTTCGGGTTGGTCGGGCCAATGAAGCACTTCAAAGTTCGCAATATGCCCGAAGCTGGTGAATGCTCTTTCATCTGTTGGAGCTTCTGCTGCAAAATTGTTTGTTTCGATCTCTGCAGGGCAATACGCATCATTCGTCTGAACCTGCAGAAGCCAAACATTGCTTTCACCTGTAGGCATCGTAACGTGGTGCCATAGCTAAAGTTGGCGACCGCATAGTTCGACTCTCTTGTCTCAGCTTCCAGTTGATGAAACAAGCAAACATCGACTCTTTGGCCAGCTGACGTCGGAGATGTTTGAGCTGATGGCGACATCGCAATTTCTGGATGCGCAGTTCCCATACATCTGCCGTGACATATGGCTTCTTGGCTTTTGGTGCAAGTTGTTGTGGTGTTGCTCCCATGGCTTGATGAATATGTTCAATCATGGCCCTTGTTTGGTGCTCCACATCAACATGCCATGCTGCTGGACTGAATGCTTTCAACTCCTCCTTCAGCTTGTCGTGCTTGAAGTCAATGTGATGCATATGTGCAGTCCGATTTCGTTTTGTCTGGATGGCTGTGCTCCCTCTCCACTGCAGCTGTAGTACTACAACATGATGATCATCATGCCTTTGGGCTAGATCAAACTCTGGGAGGATCTGAGATATGGTGCATCTGTCCAGCCACCCCTGTGGTACTGCAATATGGTCAATGCAATGCTTCGACATACCATCCGGCGCTGTCCATGTTGCATTGTCTCCTATGTGACATGCAGTGGTTGCTGGCAAACACATGTCTCTCTCGTGCAGTGCCTCCCTGAATAAAGGTGTACTGCTGGAAGTTGAGAAGCCTTCTTGATGAACCGTAGTCCCATCAGGATTTCCTGGCGCTGCATTGGCATCAATCAACCATATCATCGGTGCTTCGTCACAATGTTGATGTAGTAGCACTTGCGTCTCATGCCACCATCACAACGTTCTTGCCAAGCTCTGCCACTTTGCGGAGCATGTGCTGTGAAAAACCAACAATCAAGCAATGGATGATCGCAGCGCAGCAACAGTCTTCGTGGGTCATGATGGACAATACAGAAATCGCTTTTTGTCAATCGATGTTCTTGGTGTCCTTTTCGTTTCTGATGCCAGCCAATTGGTAGGTTCAAATTGAACCAAATCTCCACGCCCAGTTGCCCTTGTTGATGACCTGATGCATAGCAAAGGACGCCATTGGTAGATCTTGTACCTGCCTCTGTCCGTGCCTCTTGTATTGCCATGCAGTTGATCTTGAAGTATTTCATTTGCTCTTGCAGGAAATGGAGTTTTCCTCCATGACCATCTGGGCCTTTGTAGAGTGATTGCACGTTGGCGGTTGCCAAACAGAGCCCACACTGTACTTCTCTATAGACACTGTACTTTGTAGCTTCAGGGGTCTGCATCGGACATTCGGAGATGGGCAGTGCTGGTGCTGGTACTGCAAATCCCCCATTTTGCCATCTAGGCATTCCTGCTGCATGGCCAAACAGTGTCCAGAAGTATTCCATTGGCTTGCCCCACTTCTGTAGGTCCAATTGCTGTCTGCGATGTTGAATGACTGCCCCGCTTCTAGCTTGGCCGCTTGATCAACAAATTCGTTGTATGGGTCGCCTGCATGAGATCTTGTATGATGCAACTGCACTCCTTGCCATGATAGTGCCATCTGCAGGGCTTGGTACACACCTCTCATCAAGCGGTACGACGGATCAGCTTCTGCAACTCCTAAAAGTCCGAATGCTTGTCCGCCAGCAGTTGTGGAGTCGGTACAAATGACCGTCTGCACCTGCACATTTTGGGCCAAACGCCATAACCCTGCAAATGTAATGGCTGCACGCTCGGCTTGATCTGATCCGATTCTCTGGGTGCCGGTAAATGCAGCTACCTCCAGTTGATAGGACACCGGCTGCGCCGTCCATCCCAAAGGAAAAACTTTTGATGTTGCATTCATCGCATCAATTCGTTCCCCCAAAACAAGGAAAGCCCAGGTGTCCTGAAGTCCAGCCTCATCTGCCTGCAAAGGAGGCATGCGCCGTCCCTCAGGACGTGACGACCCGTCTGTGTATATCAGCAGTCTGTCATAGGTGGTGAGATCCATGTTGGGAGGCTCATCAACCTCTAATGCCGTCTGCACGTATTCCGGGAGGTCCTTGAGCTCAAATTGGTGGCAGAGACAATCATTGGCCGAAGCAAAAAACTGCTGCAAATCACTGACTGTAAAATCTGTGAGCAATGCGCAGTCACTGCTCAAGGTCCCAATCCCCTGCAAGTCAATCATCGGCGCCGTGCGATCTTCCACGCAGGGTTGGAACTGAGGCCATGGACTTCTCTGTCTTGATGTCTCTCGCTTGAACTCAATCATGGGTTCTTGATGCGAAAAACCAATTTTTTCCCAACTTGCATGTAGGGGAACTCGTTCAGTGATGACTGCCCTGGAATATCCCAGGCTGCACAGGATCTCCATCAATCGCTCTTCTTTGAGATCAGGTTGGTCCGAATGCGCAAAGCATCCTGAGACATCATGGGGGTCAGCATGACAAAAGAGATAGTGTTTTTGCTGGCTTTGTGCCTCCTCTGTCTCCATGTCTATCTTGGGAATGCATAGAAATTTGTTGTGTGGGTGACAGTTCCACGCATGCACTGAGTGTCCCCAATGCCTCAATTCCTCTTGCACAACCTCAGAGGTGGGCTGTTGTGGGAGTTCCAGATACGTCGGGATGTGCATGTTGGGGTCCAAAGTGATGAGTTCAGTCGCAAAAGCCGTCTCCTTCTCAGCCATGGTTGATGAGACCTCAGTCATGCTGTGCTGGACCGTACTCCGCGGCCCAGGGGTGTGAGCCACCTGCCCCTGTGTTAGGCGCTCGCGTGTATTCACCAGGCTGACAGCAAGTTGGATGAGAACCGGACCTCTCCTTTGTAGTGTCCGAAGATGAACCAGGATGCCAGTACCACTTCTTCCTGGTAAAGGCGTTTCTCTGGTCATCAACTGGTGCGCGTACCAAACTTCACAATGATGCGTTGCAGCATTAGAAAGGCATTGCTGGGCTTTTCCAATGCCTTCTACAATGTGCTCCATCCTGATGTGTTCATGGGTCGTGCCCGCAACCTGCATTGCTGGTCCTCCAATCCCTCTGTCATAGTCATAAACTGTGATGAGATTGGTGATCAGTACCTCTTGCGGGTTCTGAATCAAAATGATATGGCCTGCTGTGTTCTGATCCAGGTCTGGTGGTTCTGGCTGAACCAGGTGGAATTCGTATGGTTCCCCTGGATGAATTCTATCAGCCCAAGCTTGCTTGATGATGTCCTCCCACTGCTCAATCTGTTCGTGTAGGCGGACTCGTCGTGGGTGCTCGCAGTGTAGCTGATATCTTCCATGGTCGACCATCCAGACTTCAAAACTGACAAATTTTTCTTCTCCTTCCCAGCTGAAGGTTTTTCGGTTCCATGCCTCCTGGATGTCCTGAATGGTTTCAGAGAAACAATGGAGAGGTATGCCCTGTGGCTGAAAGGCCGGTGCATCAGGATTCATCCTGAAATGTGGGCCCGCCGCACTCGATGTCTGCATGAAATTCAGTCCATCTTCTTCTTCTTCAACTGCATTCCACAGATTGTCTGTGTTGGGCCTTCTGCTATTGAGGATGAGTAGTAGTGAGGCTCCATGTCTCATTGGGCTTTGGTGATCATTCAGAAATTCTCGATCTCCATGCCAAAATAGGCAATTCACCTCTTGTTGGTGCTCTCCACAGAGGCCGCTGAGTTGGAAGTGCTGGATGAGGTCTGTTCTGCTTGCAAGTGCTGGGGCAAAAATTGCGACTTGTTCCAAGGTGCTTCCCGTTGATGGAAGGTTGTTCAAAACTGTCAAAACAGCTGCACGATGTTCCGCTGCTGATCGCTGAAGTAGAATAACATGCCTAGGTCCCTCCTCAGTGAAGGCCCTACCAATGGGTGTGGGCTGCACTATGTGAAGCTCGAAGGGCATGTTCTCTTCCAAGATGTCATTCCATCTCTGCGCAATTTGTGCTTGCCAGTTCCAAAAATCATGTCGAAGATGGACTTCACGATGTCGTTCACATTTCATGACGTTGGGGAAGCTCAGGAACCATGTGTAGATAGTCATGATGTTCTCCTCATTGACATTCCTTGCAGCTCCTTGCATTCTCCAATGTCTATGAAGATGTCTCGTGGCTTCTGTTTGTAATTCAATCAACCTGTCACGTTCCTGTTGTGGTGGATGAGAGTCACTCGAGCGTTCAAAAGTTGGAGGTTCACAAAGATGACTTGACTTGTAACGCTGTGCGAAATCCTCTGCTGAAAAGTCCAGAAATGGCGGTCTGCTGTCCAGCTCCGGAGTCCATGTTCGTTGCAGCAAAGTCGTTTCCTCATGGATCTCAAAGTCAGGTACAAGTGGTACCAGAGGCATGCTCACGGCTGTGTCTCTCCATCCAACTTGAACAAGTGCTTGTTGCAATTGCAAATCTTCCACGGTGATGCCCTGATGTGAGGCTGTTGCTACTGTCCGGGTGCTAAGCTGACAGACTTCCTCACTCACCGGGGGGATAGCAATGCGCAAGAAATCACCATCTTGGAGGTTGATTAGTGCTGCGCTGCGGATGCGAAGCATGTCATGATTGTGCCATATAATGCATTGATGCCCTACTTCTCTGCAGAAATGTCCAAGACCCAGTGAATGTAGTAGTGTGACCCTGCCAATGTGTGGTGGCAGTTTGTAAACTTTCCTGACAATCTCTGGTTGGTTGGTGGGGCAAGCATGATGGAATTCCACATCGATGAGGATGAGACGTAGCGCTGAGCCCGGCGTCAAATCTCCATGTCGATGCGCAATGATTGCTTCCGCATTCGCTCTGGAAAGATCTTCTGGTTGATGTCGTACATGATGGGTGTCATATAGTAAGTTGCTTGAAATGCCCGATTTCGTTGCAACCTTGTGATGAAATCCCTCATAATCATTCCAGTTCAGACGGAGAGATACTTCCTTGAAGTCCAATGCAAAGAGGACCGTAGTATGCCAATCAGGGTGACCTTCACCTTCTGCAGCCTCTGAGACATCTGAATTGTCTTCTGGTGATGAGCTCTGTCCATCTGATCCTTCATCCTCATGTGGATTGATAGCAATATCCTCATTTTCCATGATTCTGCCGTCAGTTTCTCGCTGGGCATGTTGAAAGCGATCTTCGCGCCTCACTGGTGCCGCCAGCCAGGAAACTTCATCAGCTTCTGGTTGAGGAAACGGTTGAAAAATAGGAGTAGAAAGCACAGCTTGTCCAGTTTGACATGGCCACTGTTGGAAGACAGTCTCTGGCTCCAATCCCACATAGAGCTCAACTGTTTGTGCAAATGACGGATGTCTTTCTGGCTGTGTGCTCTTCCTCCTTGTCTTGCATGGTGTTGGTCTTCCACTATGTGTGCCGCACATGGGATCAACCTCATACTGCAAGTCGAGGGCCCTGATAGAGGCCTTC